TCCTCAGACTGAAATCCTAGGAGGCATCTTGAGTCCTCTCTTTCCCTCACTCCCCATAGCCAATCCGTTGTCAAGTCTGCTCTGCTCTCCAAAACATTTCCTGGATCCAACATGTTGCTCTACCTCCAATGCTATGAAGCCAGCATCATCATCTCTTGCCTGGACTACTGAAATAGCCTGACATTTGTTCTCCCCACTTCTACATTTGCCCCCCCCTATAATTTATTCTCTATTTGGCAATCAAAAGGATCTTTTAAAATATTTTAAACAGATCACGTACTCCCCCACTTGCAACTTTCCAATGGCTTCCCATTGCTTTAAAATAAAATCCAAATTCCTTCCCATGGCCTACAGTTTCTGCATATCTCGACTTCCTCTGCCTACTTCTCTGTCCCCATTTCACTCCATTCTCTTTCTTCCCTTCCAAGCTCCAGACCTTCCACTCCCTTTCTAGTTCTTAAATTTACCAAACTTGTTCCCGCCTTACAGATTTGCACCAGCAGTTCCCTGTTCCTGAAGCCCTCTTCCTCCAGATCTTTGCAAGGCTGGATCTTTTTTTGTTATTTATGTGTCAAATGTCCCCTCCTCAGTGATGATCTTCCTGGCCACTCCACCTAAAGTAATCTCCACACTCCCATCACTCCCGATCCCATCACCTGCTTTTCTTTTCATCACAGCATTTATCACTATTTGATATTTTCTTATTTGCTCATTTGTTTCCAGTCATTAATTGTTCCCTCTTTGTTTTTGAGGTAAAATGCACATAAAATAAAATTAACCATTTTAAAATGAACAATTCAGTGGCATTTAGTACATTCACAATGTTGTGCAACTACCACCTCCATCTAGTTCCAAAATACTTTACCATTCCAAAAGGAAACTCTGTACCCATTAAGCCATTGCTCCCTATTTCTGCCCCTGGTAACCACCAATCTGCATTCTGTTCCTATGGATTGCCTATTCTGGGCATTTCATATAAACGGAGTGATATAATATATGATCTTTTGTGTCTGGCTTCTTTCACTTAGCATAATGTTTTTGAGGTTCATCCACATTTTAGCACATATCAGTACTTCACTCCTTTTTATGGCTGAATAGTATTCCATTGTGTGTATATACAACTATTTGTTTATCCATTCATCTGTTGATAGAGTTCCCCTCTTTTTTCTTTTTTTTTTTTACTAGCCAGTAGACCTATCTGTGTCATGAACACATGAAGATGTGTTTAGAACAGAACCTGCCATATGGTGGGTGCTTAATACACGTTTATTTTATGAATGAATGAATGAATGATGAACACTAATGTATAAGGGACAGGTATAGGAGGGAAACTTGGAAGCAGACTGGGAAAAAGTAACCAGAAAGACAGCAGCAGAATCAGTGGAGAATAGTGTCACAGAAGCCAGAGAACATAAGGGTTTCAAGAAAAAAGGACCAAGGAAGATGAGCTCTTGAGAACGTGTATTGCGTTAACAACCAGGAGGTCAGTGCTGGCCTTGGTAGGAAGAGTATTGATGTCAAGTCAAAATGCAACAGTGGATGGAAATCACTGGATCCAGAACAGTGGGTTGGGCCATATCTTTCAGAGAACTTTAGGGCCTCCATCACAGATTAGTTCCCCATGCCCAGAGCTAAAACGATCAAGAATTTTCTTTCTTGGTCACTCTAGGGCTAGGAACTCCTCAAAGGAGTGATGTTGAATTTTAGAGGTGGAAGGAAGCCCAGTGTTCATTAGGTTGAGACGACAGATATTCTTGCATGCCTATTATGTGCCTACTAGTGTCAGGCACTGTTTTGGGTGTTGGGGTTACAACAGTAAACAAAAATAGAAACAATCCTTACTTTCATGGAGCTTAAATTCTAGAGGAGGGAGCAAACAAACAAGCAAACAAATAAATGTCTTATGGTGAAGTGCTATGAAAAAAACAAGAAACAGGACGAGGAGACAGGGAGTGAAGAGGAAGGTGCTACTGTAAGGTGGTCACTCAGGCGTCTCTGATGAGGTGATATTTGAGCAGAGACTAATGATCCCCAAATAATAAAATCATCTGATATTAGTTTCTCTTGCTTGACTGGAATGTCTAGTTACTTTGGGGTCCTTAAAGATCAAAGTTTTGTTGATACAGAATTTGGTAAGTCCCTTTAGAGGTTCCCATAGCTTAAATGAGGAAGTTAATTTAGTTTACTTTATTGGTAAGGAGTTTTATTCTGTTCAAATAATTTTGGCATTTTATGTTGAGATGAACACAAAAGAGCATTTTAGGGCTTTTGAGATCTCTAAAACTTCAAAAGTTATTGGTTTTAAGTCTCCTCCTCCTTCCACAATAGCTTAAATCTTACTTCCAATCTCTACCAAAAGAAGGTGATAGATTCCAGAAAAGCAGAAGAGTACTCATGGGATACTCCATCCAGTTTAAACATTTTCTCTTTTTGTTTTGTTTTTTGTTTGTTAATTTTTACAATTTGTATCCAATATTTGTATATCATGGAGAGGCACTGAAAAATTACATAATATACTTTTAATACAAGTGAAGATAATTGTAAGAGTACTACTACTTACTTTCTGAGGGGAAAAATCTACATAACAAAACTGTGATTATTATGTTTAATAAATTAAATTCAAGGTAGAAACTTTAAGCAGAGAACTGGAAACTGTAAAAAAAAATCAAATGAAAATTCAAGAACTGAAAAACATTAAAACTGAAATTAACCTACATGAGGTGACTTCCTCAAGACTGGGAGAAGTGGCTCTTTTATGCATAGAAACCAACACAGAGTCAAGGAAAATGAAGAAAAGAGGAATATGATATTGAGAACCCTTCCCACTTGTTTATGAGGTCAGCATAATCTGATACCAAAGCTTGACAAAGATAACAAAAGAATATTATATGCTAATTTCTCTTGTGAACACAAAGCAAAAATTCTGAAGCAATGTAAACAGACCAAATCCAGTGATCAAGTGGGGTTTATTTCAAGAATTCAAAGTTGGGTTAACAATTTAAAATCAAGAAAAAACATCACATTAACAGAGCAAAGGAGAATTTATATGATCATTTCAATAGAGGCAAAAAAAGCATTTGATAAAATTCAGTATCAATCCATGGAAACAAATTTTGCAATCTAGGGAGAAAAGGGAACTTTCTTAATCTTTTGCAAGGAATCTACAAAATATCTATAGCAAATATCATACACAATGGTAAAAAATTGAAAGCTTTTCCTTTGCAATTGAGAGTGAGAGGTGAATGCTGGCAATACTACTTCTACTACTCACCATTTACTGGAGGTTCTAGGCAGTACAATAAAACAAGAAAAAGAAAAACAAGACTTAAAGATTTGAAAGTAGGAAATTAAATTGTAATTATTTTGATTCCGAACATAGAAAATCGAAAAGAATCTACAGGACTGGAATATGTGTTCAGGTTCAATTGACTATTTCCATCGAAAAAGGGATTGAGAATCCTACCTTGCACCATGAGCAAAAATTAATTCCGTGTATAGATCTAAATATGAACAGTAAAGAGCCAAGGCTTCTAGAAGATAACATAGGATAATATTTTTATAACTTTGGGACAGGCAAAAGCTTTAAATAGGACACCAAGAAATATTAACCATAAAGGAAAAGATTCATAAGTTTGAATGTATTAAAATGTATGGACATCAAATGGTCATCAAAAAATACCGTTAAGTGAAGAGGCAAGTAAGAGTGGGAGAAGATATTTGCAATACATACAATCAACAAAGGGCTTATATCCAGAATATATAAAGAACTCCTACAAATCAATAAGAATAAAGATTATCAAATAGAAAATTAGGCAAGGAAATTGACAGACACTTTACAATGGAGAATATCAAAATGGCCAATAAACATATGAAAATGTGCTCAACTTCATTAGTAACCTGAGGAACAAGAATTAAAACCACAATAAGATGTTTCTACATACTGACCATAAAAGCTAAAATTAAAAAGACCAATAATACCAAGCGTTGGAAAGAATATAGAGCAAAAACACTCACACACTACTTGTTGGGGATATTAATTGGCTCAGTTAGGAAAACAGCTTGGCAGTACCTCCTAAAGCTCACCTTATCCTATGACCTAGCAATGCCACTCTTAGGTATATACCCAATGGAAATATGCACCAAAAGACACATACAAAAATGTTTTTTAGCAGCATTATTTGTAATAGCCTCAAACAAGAAATAACTCAAATGTTCATCAACAGTAGAATAGATAAATTGTACTATCATTGTATGTAGTATCTATATACAAAGGAATACTTAGAGAAACAAAAATGGATAAACTGCAACTATATGAAACAATATGGATGATGAATCTCAGAAACAATGGCAAGATAAGCCAGACACAAAAGAACACATATAGTATGATACCATTTATACAAAATTTACAAATGGCCACAACTAATTTATGATGTGAAAAGTCAGGATAGTGGTTACCTTGTGAGCAAGTTGAAGGAGTGACTGGAAAAGGACAGGAGGGAAGCTTCTGGAGCGCTACTAATGTTCTATTTATTACCTGGGTGGTAGTTCCATTGATGTGTTCCCTTTGTGCTAAATCATCAAGCCGTCCAATTCTGACTTGTGCATATTTCTGTACATATGTCAGAGTCAATAAAAAAGTTTTTTAAACAGGCACAAAAGATCACTTGTAGCTCTTTAAAATATACGGAGCCTTGAGGGCTCATGGAACGTCCAGGGGTAAGTCTCAAACACCTGCGTTTTAAAAAAGCATCACAGCAATTCTGGCCTGCACTAGAGGTGAAGAACCATTGATGGAAACACTTCGTGAAACATTACAGATCCCTTTTCTTTCTATAGACTGGCATGGCCAACCAACTCACAGACCCATCGTGGAGTCTTATTCAAGGAGCGACATTTTTTCTTTTTAACAACTATGTACACATCAGTACATCGGTATCAGGGTAAGAATAATCATTCCTTAAAGGGGTAAAAAAAAAAGAACCCAACAACCAGCAACTCACCAATGGGAATACTTCATCATCACTAACCAAAGGACTTGTCATTTCTTTGGTTTGAAATGGCAAAGGTGGCAATGGAGGCGTTGTACTTCTATTTGGCTCACAATCTTGGCTAAATCTAAAAGAGAAAGAATGGTTGTCATGTTGCTTGTTTGTTTACGTGTTTATGTAGCTAAAGATTTTAATTTCTCTGATGTTTAACTGGGGGGAATACACAACAAAATGTTTGGGCTTGTTAGCTGGATATTTCTTTGAAAATAATTTTCCTGATGAATAGTTTGTACTCCACTTGAAAGACTTATAATGATGAATAATGAAACAGAAAACTTTGTAATTGTTAAAAATATTCTATTATCCTTATTGCCTATATTGCTTCCCTTTCTGTGTTCTACTTTTGTATCTCTTTGCCATTTAATTAAATAACATGAAACCAGGTTGAGAAAAATCTCAAAACAGCTAACACAGCTGCCCTTGACAGTTCTAAATAAATATTCTTTTTCTATTCTCTATTTTACTTAACCTCACTGGCTTTCTTAACAGAGTTATAGTTTGTTTTTTGGTGCTTGAACAAGTCTTTGTATAATAATAATTCTAATTCTAATAGGACTTAATAATTTACGTTTTTAATTTATTAATTTACGTGTTTTTAATGTACGTTATTAATTTACATGTAATTTATAATTACATGTTTTTAATTTACACCATCTCCTAAGCTCCTCCACACTTAGTTGTATGACCTTGAGCAGGTGACTTTATCTTTCTGTGACTTTAATTTTTTCATGTATAAAAAAAAAGTTGCTATGAGAATTGAACTCCACAATTTGGATGAAAGGCACAGTACAGAATTTGTTGTTCATGCTAAAATAAAGGGTAGACGGTGAGACTGAATAAAATACCAGTGAAATGTTAAATTTTGGTATGCTTACTAAAACACATCAATTTACCCTAAAATTTTACACAAAATGATCACAACAGTATGGGCTATTTGGGACTAAATCAATCTTTCTGTACATTAATTCCTGAAAATGGGGTTTAAATTTAATCAAACTCATCAAAGACCATGAAAACATAAAAATCCCTTCTATTCAAAGTTATTTATTTTTACTAACAATTCAAATTCTCCACAGGTATTGACTAACCATTTTAAAAGCCTTCATATTTTAATTTACACAGTTCAAAAAAATTTTACATTATTTTTTCTCTGTTCTTATCCAAAGACTATCTATCTATATAGACTTGTTTCTTATTATGCAAACATTTTCAAAGCTATGCATACAAATAACAATAAAAGCTAAGTGAGGCATCTGTAAATTAGTACATAAAAACAAACACAACATGTTTTCCATTTTTACTTATCTTGAAATATATCTTTTTAAAATCCATTTTCTCAAATCATAATTACCATGGAAACAGAACAGCAAATTAAACTGAAATAACATGGTTTATGATGTGCACAGTAAGAAGAAACATCCCACAATTCAAATAGAATTATAAGAATTGCATAGTACATCTGCATGGAATCTTCAGTTGAACCTTTTAATTTTAGTGAGGCAACCATCTATACTTCGAAGCACAGTCGAAAAAAATAAGACAATTATAGAAATGACTCAGGAAATATATATCTCTCTGTAATCTCAATTATACAGAGATTTCAAGGAAAGTATTATTTGTCCTAAATTATCTAAATAATTATCTCAATTATCCATTTTGTTTTGGCTATATAGACACAGTTTTATGGCGTTAATTACTAAAATTTATATATGAACATTCTTTTTATTTTAAGATCAATAAAATGTAGAGATTGAAAGGAGAGACTACATTATGAAGTAAAGTACTTTTGCTTTAAATCATCTTTATATCTGACAAGTTCTTCTTCTAGAATACAGCTATTCAAATACTTCATAAAACCACCTTGCATAAAATGCTAAGTATATCAATTTAAAAGCTATCTCAAAAATTATTTCAGAAGGCTCTTAATATCCCCTCACAAGCTGGTCTGTTCAATTGGCTTTTCCACAAGCCTTATTCCAAGGCCTCTGCCTACCTTTTTTGCCAGCAGGGCAGGACCTGATTGCTTTGTTGGAGAGTAGAATGCTACCTACTTGAGACTTGAGTCAACTCTCCGCACAGTTGTCAGAGTCGTCTGACGTGTACGTCCAATCCTGGCCCTTCATGAATTTTCCGTGGGCTGTAGGATAATGTCCTCAGCATGGAACAAGATCCCCTTACAAACTGTGCTAATTTACCTGCTTCCAGCCTCACCTTCTAAAGCTCCACATAATGCTCCCTATTCTATGAACTACTCATTATTTCCTAGCCCAGAACTGTCCAGCCTACTGTTTTGTTCCTTACTGAGTAACACTATGGTATAAAATTTTCTCAAATTTTCACGTCTAGATGACTATTCATTCCCCGACAAGGGATCCTGTGAGAGTGGTTATGACAAACCTGCTGACTTTGTGGTTTTTTAGTATCAGCAACTGTTAATTTATTAACTAGATTTGAAGCCATTTTAATGATTAATGTTTGTGATTACTAAAATCTTTCCAGTACATGATATAACTTTTAAGACCATAAATTCACTTTTAAGTATGTATCTTACATAGAGATAAAACTCCATTTACTACAAAATTGATTTGTCATTAAAATTGGTTATATATTAATAGCTCTGGATACCACTACTCCAACTTGGCTTGTAAATTATCCTTAAACTTCAAAACTCTAACTTACAAAAATTTTTAAAATATTCAATACACCCTCATCGAATTCAATTACATCTCATTCCTAATCTATTAAAGTGCCGAATAACTGTCTTATTGGGAAGCAAATCCTTTGGAATATCCTAAAATGCTTCACATTTTAAGTGGATGAGCATCAAAAACTTCTTATCATTTCTAACAGATGTGAAAAACAACAAGAATTGAGTTGCTTCTGAGTAAATAAAAGATTATTTTAATAATGTGTTATACAAATCTTTCTCAGTTAAAAGCAAGAAGTGGCTAAAAATTAGACTACAGACTTTAAAATTTTGTGGAACACTATCTTCATAGACTTTTACCTCAAAGCTTTTTCCTTTCTAAAATAGTTTAATAAAATCTTATTTCATTAGCCACTGATATGTAAATATGACTTGTGTCTTTTCCGATTATTTTATGCCTAACAAATATATATAGCTTTTGCTATTTGACTTCACTGAGCCGTGCTGTGAGGGAATGAAAGAGTACGTCATTTTTCACTTGCTAAAATTAATAGAGATGCGCTTTACGGTTCTCCACTGGTGAGTTCGCAGTGTCCTTGCATCTCAACAACTCTTTCCTTATAGTGGGTTTTACATGGTAATAATTTATTCAGAACATTTGAAATGCTGTTTCTTTTAAAAATCAAGTCACTGGAGAACACTGAAATCGGACAAGGCATTAAAACAAATTTAATGAAACTTTCAACAAATGAGACTGTCAGGGCACAAGGCTTTGCGGCAGGAGGAGTAGTCCCAACTGCTTATTAAGATCATCTCCTGCTGAGCACTTCACTTATGTTGCTTTCTGTGTCCCCTACTGTCTTGTTTTTGTTAGGCACTTTTAACACATCCTGTACTGCCCGACAAAGAGAAAAAAGGGGGCAATTCAAATAATAAAAATACTTTTTAAAAAGAGTAAAAGGCAGAGTAACTGTGTTTTAGTTTCAATAACAACACCTGGTACCTTCAGCTAAGGCTTTCAAAGTTATTCCCAACAAGCAAGAATAGGAAACAACGTTCTGCACCTAACGGGTGCTCAGTACAGACCAGTGACTGACTGAGATACACAGGAAGACCCTTGATAATATCTTTAGGGGCCTGCTTTTCTCTTACAATGAGAAAACTATGCAAATACATGGAGGTCGTGATTTGACCCATGGAGAAATGAATCCAGAAAGTAGGGCAGCACTTTCTAAAGGTTTTACTCTCTATTAGAAAATATATTCTTACAGCAAAATCAAGATTAGAGCCTTGTGGACAGATTTTCAGTTATACTAGCCAGTCAACATGGGCACATTCACAAGAGAGCTGGCCCACGGCTGTGGCCCAGTGTCCTCTTCCATCCTCCCCATACTGTTTTTGCACTGCTGCTGCCACCACCACCCCCAACTCCACCTCACCCCCCCCCCGACAACACCCCCCCACCAGTGATTTTTTGGGTAGCAGCCAGTCTTCCTTCATTCCCTTCCTTAACTACTTGAAGAGGGATTACTAATTTAGCACTTTTGAATGGTTGCTGTTCTTGTATTGGATTAGGATAGATCCTTCTAACACACACAGGGCTGAGGTGGGGAAAGTAGGAGAGAGCTATACTACATCCATAAGAATGTTGATTTTTCAGTATGTCCCATGGATTTATGGATTTATCTACCTGCAGAACCTGGCATGCTTAGCTACAAAGATGAGCCTGGCATCACCCTTCCCCTACAGGACTATCTTTGAGGAAATGTTAGATTCAGCCACTTATTATCCACCAAAACGTACTTTTTTAGGCACTGTCAATTGTGGGGGAAGTATTATTATTATTACAAATACTAATAATTTTGTTAGTCATAATGATATCAATAATAATGGCTAACATTCATGGAACTACATGTTTTCTCCTATAATCTTCATAAAGACCCTGTAATTATTATCCCTATTTGTCAAATGGGAAATTGAGGGTTAAAAAGGTTAAGTAAATTTCCTAGGGTTATAAACATTAATTATGGCATATAAAAACAGTAGGTAAGGTTTTCAGGCTAGGTATTATGAGCTTCTGAGCAAAAGTTGTATTGAAGTTGGGTCTGGACCTATTAATTTACCATTTCTCAGCACCATGGAATATTAATAAACCTGACATCAAATAAGCTTGGGGAGCATTGAACGCCATACCCCTTCTTGGAAACTCACAGTGTACATTAGTACATTAATGGCTCTGAGAGATCCTGTAGAAAAGAAACTTGTTGGTTTTGCTGAGCATTTTCCAAGTTTGGGAAAACAGTAGAAGGCTTCCAGAGACAGTTTTGATTCCATAAATATTTATTAGAGTTGAATAAATTAGTCTAATTTTATAGTTGATATATTAACCTAAATTTTGAACTAAGACATTTTAAAGAGCACGGGGATAGTGTGGACTGCAGATACTGATTTTCCATATGCTTCTCTTCACTCGGAGAAAACCTCCCTTACACATCCATAGTTTCTTTCCCTAGGAAATGACCAATAGTTTGTTACCACTGCTGGAGTGTCAATGTAAAGTGCATATATTTTTGAAATTAAGTCATTATCAAGTTAAGTCAATATAAAGTGTAGACATTTTTGAAGTTAAGAAGTGACATCTTCCTATATTTTCTATTTTGTTTGAACAGTATATGTAACATTAAATTCTAGTTTTTCTATTCCTATGACATGAAAATAAGATTACTTATTTGTGTATTTTGCATGCCACAGCAGCTTCTAAGACGGGTCTGAATTGACTAAAACTCACTATAACACTCTACCCATTTCACTGTTGCATTTTGAAAGCTATTAACAACATAGAATTTCATATAAAACAATGTATCTACACTTACTGCATTATCACTAAACAACTAAAGAGAAAGTGTATACAATTATAATTTGAATTGTTTAAAAATAAAATGGAGTCAGCATACCTGTCTTCATTTTTCTCCATTTTTATTTGGCTCTGATAGGTGTACCGTCCCATTTCTTCACAGGCATTTTGATTAGCCCATGCTGATTTTCCATTGGCATGAAGTTTTGCAAGATCATTTCGGAGCCTTTCATTCTCATATTCCAGTTTATTAATAGATGTATGCCTTGACTTTTCCCTGTTAGTGAAGTCCATACTCTAGATAATAAAATAAACCATCATTGAAAAAATTGTTCCTTGTAAGTGAGGCATATTTTCTGTGCGTTTGGACAGGTGTGTTGGAAAGGCCCTTTCATTTGAGTCAAGTGATGTAGCTCTGTGCTTGTGTACCTCCTAATGCCCTTTCCCACACTCATCTCCTCACAACACAGATACTCAGAGATAGCTGCTGCTGAGCACATCACAATAAAAGCAACGCATACACTACTGCCTATGTTCCAATACAGAAAAGACTCACTCATGCATTAGTGTTCTCTGTATCTAGCACAAATTGGCTAGATGTAAGAGTTTCTGTGTTTACAGGGTATGCCTTCTAGTGTTGGTCAATAATGGAATCAGAATTAATTTTGGTTAATTGAAATACATTTCATTTTTAAAAGAATTTTTTTCTGATTAAAATAATACATGTCATTATAGAAAATCACATATTGATTCCCCACTGTTGAGTGATGCAACAAATTACACACTAAATCCATTTAGACTGGGGTCTGATTCTGGACCATTCTATACCAATGATCTAACAGTTGAGATTGTGCCAGTATCACACAGCTTTCAGGAATGTAGCTTCATGATAAAGTTCCTTTTTTCCTTCCTTCCCTCCCTCCCTCCCTCCTTCCTTCCCTCCCACCCGCCTTCCTGCCTTCCTTCCTTCCTTCCTTCCCTTCCTCCCTCCTTTCTCGAGGAAGATCAGCCCTGAGCTAACATCCATGCCAATCCTCCTCTTTTTGCTGAGGAAGACCGGCCCTGAGCTAACATCTATTGCCAATCCTCCTCCTTTTTTTCCCCTTTTTATCCCCAAAGCCCCAGTAGATAGTTGTATGTTGTAGTTGCACATCCTGCTAGTTGCTGTATATGGGACACCGCCTCAGCATGGCTGGACAAGCAGTGCGTCGGTGCGCGCCCGGGATCCCAACCCAGGCTGCCAGTAGCAGAGCGTGCGCACTTAACCGCTGAGCCACGGGGCCGGCCCCCATGATAAAGTTTTACTATCTGGAATGGGCCACCCAATTTTAATGTGTCTTCAGAGGAGAATAAGAAACATGTTTAAATCACAAAATGAGAGGTTTAGAGCAAGAACAAAGATTTCCGATGCTGTTTGAATTAAATGCTGTAAGAAGTTTTGTAAGGGGAGTCTAACCATTTCTCCTCACAAAATTTAAAAAAACCGGATATATTCTAACATGAAAATGCTTTAAGTGAATCTACATAGTCCTTTCTAGTCCTATGATGTGAATATCTATGAGTTGTGTAGTTGCTGATTAAACAATAGTTCTCTGCTGTCCAGAAGGGTAATATTTTAGCACAAAAATCATAACATGGATAAAATACCTGTTTTGAAGCTCCCAATTTCTATGGTTAAAAGCCTATAAGACTATAGATGAATATGGCTTAGAATTTCACTTTGAAATTCTTAAATTTAAGGCTTTGAGAGTAATTTCATATGGGCTAGCACCCCATAAAGTCATTCAAAAGTTTTTGACTAATTCACATTTTAAATTATTCATATAAATGTTGATTAGTATCAATGTTGATAAATAAATGTAGAAGTATATACATATTAGGCATTAAAAACTTTTACTTATTTGTTTCATTTTTTTGCTTCAAAGGCGAAACCTGCTAACTACATTTTCTGTTACTGCCTAATACATTATAGAAGTTTATAAATCTTTAGAAAGGTCTCACTTTTGAATGAAAGGAAATGCTCCAGGAGGGCAAACTTCCCCAAAACAGTACAGAAAGGGTTATACGCTTGTATGTCTATTGACAAGGTGCCCTTTGGAGAATGGGGACCACTGAAGGTCTTGCTGCACGTGTGAGGCCCTGGCCTTTGGTACGTCTCAACATTCGCTCATTTGAGATACACCAGTGCAGAAGAAAGGGTAATCTGTAGTCTGCTTTAAAAGAGAGAGGACTGTTTATTCTAAAACTAGAGCAGATTTACTATAAATATAAAGGAGGCAGAGTCTTATAAAATTTTGCCCTTTATAAGGAAAATGTTCATACAATCAGATCTGATTGAAATAGGTCATGGGAAAGATTCAAAATTTTACTCCTAAAAAGACATCTATTAGTCAAAATATATGACTCTTGATGGTCTGCTGCTCAGTTGTAATTTTATTCAAGCTTTTTCAATGAAATTAGATTTCAGCTGTGACTCTTTTTGGCCCAGTGTTGGTTTAAAGTAATTAAGAATGATAGTAATAATTTCTTTAAAACCCCACAATTTTCTAAATGTACCATGATTAAAAAAGTATTGTGAGAATGACCTAAAAGAATTACACAGGTAATGTATTTACATGACATATTTAAAAGCATATTCCATTTTCCTTGACAACAATGTTTTTGGGGCTCTCTCATTTCATGTTTTTCTTAAATACTTTTCTAGAAATTTCAGGAATATATCTTCCGTAGATGGTTATCATGTGAAAATTGGCATTGATTAAATTGTATCTCTGTATTTTTGATGAGTTGTTTTATAGGCTTATTAAATTTTTTTCCCCAAATTTTAGAGTTCCGTAGTTTTAATCCATTTCTTTCTTCTTGAAATAGCTAAACCTCCTGGTGCCTATTTGCTTGGACACTTGAGCATGAGGCCAGTTGAATTACTGAAGTGTCTGAATAATAGTATTTTTTTATGTGCACTTTTTCTTTTAAATTCATGCATATTCAACAATAATAGTCTAACAAAGCATTTCTACAGGACTGGCTTTAATCATGTGTTATGGTTAGTATGTTAATTTCAGTATGTAAATAGATGTTTTAGATACTTGTGAGGGTACTAACTTTTTTATGCTATTATTTTATTTAGCAGACTTTATGGATAGGGAAAAGCAAATTAGTCTTAAAAATTACCATAAATACCGAGTTCTGATTAAACCTGATTTTATGACACCTTTCTTAAATGAAAGAGCATTTAATTAACACAATTATAGGTCTAAGTAAATATGGAATCACAAAAAGCTATCATGATAAACTTAATTCTTCGTTAGCTACCCAGGAGCATAATAAAAGTAAATCCCTCACTTTTCCCCATGCAGTCAAGCTTCTGCACAAATCCAAGGAAAACATCTTTTTCAGAGATGTTCTAAGAACCTCTTGCTAGTTCTGCTACTAATCTAAGTACCTCACTGAGACCCGAGGAAAACTTACGTACAGGCAGTTAGTCCCCTCAGTACATTCTCCAGAGGAAAATGGGAGCTGCCATAGCCCCAAGCACACAACGGATAATGACTGAGTGCAGGGCTGCTATTCCTACCACGGGGTGGGTGCCTTTTTAAAACTTTCTTTCTCTAAGTGTAAATCAGCAGGGAGCTTCACAGTTAGTCAAGAAGAAGAATTCTCAAGCTCTAGTTATTTAGAAATGACCTACCTTGATATCAGTAATCTCACTCATCTAGAAAGAAAAAAAAAATTATTTTAATATTATCCAAATACCACATATTTTAGAAAACTTAAAAATAATGATGTAAATATTTTGTTTCTTGCCTGAAGTAAAATTTCAGCACTAATTATTTAACTCTCTGTTTACTTATCCATTCTGATTATTTCAGAAAGAATGAACTATCTAATTATGGGATTTTAACATATAACAGATATAAGTTTTCCTCATGAAATCTTTAAACTAATGAGTGCTAAATAAGTCACATAATAGATTGTAAACTCTTAAAGAGAAAAGAATTACATTTAACTCTTTTTTAATTAAATAGACACTTAAGATTTTTCTCTTTGGAGAGTGGCTTGACTATTTCAATTATCAAAGTCAATTCCAAATCTTCACATACAAAAAAATAGAGGGCAATTATAAAGTCAACTTCCTATATGAATTACAATCCTACATAAAATATATATGATTAAGTGCTATTTTAATAAGCATCACATTGAGGGCCATATATCAGTGGCATTCCATTTTATGATATCCAACTAACCAATCTTTTAGCAAACATATATTTTATACATATGTACTAAGTGCTACAGAGGTAATCGAGTATGAAAAAGTGACACTGTCTTCATGGAAAATACAATAAAATTGAGTAGACTAAACTAACATGTATGAAAAAATAGTGAATAATATAGATAAAGTATAATTATGTGTTAAATTACATTGCGCCAAGTAGGAACTCAAATGTTTTTTAAATCAATGAATGGCAACTACTATTAGGACAGAGATCACACAGGCAGTGAGATAAGACAAGGCTTTGGGGACCTCTTTAATGACACTAGCATGAGTTTCCATGATAACTTCTTCATGCCTCTTAGACTACAATGAGACCCATAAATCCACAAGTATTCATTGAGCCCTACTCTATACCAAACCCTATATGAAGAAAAAGTAAAAAATATAGTCCACTTCCCTCAAGAAGTCTATGACTGATGAGACAAAAACCTACACATACGAAATAATTAAAAAATAAAAAAAGACAATTCAAAACTTAGTGCTAAATTGTTATAACTAGCAGTGCCGAAGAAAGCCAAAGGAAGGAGAAATAAATGGGGCCTAGAGTAACTGGAGATGAATTCATGGAGTAGAGAACATTTATTCTAGGTCTTAAGGGAGTGCTGGATTTAGTAAAGGATATGTCTTTACTTTGGTAAAGTAAAGGAAAAGCATTCAGGTGGAGGACATATAATGGATTCATTCATTCACTCACTCATTCATTTGTTCATTCACTCATCTAACAAAATATTTTTTCACTGCTGAGGTACAATGGTAAATGAGGAAGGACCATAACTGCCCTCACTGAGGGCATTCTACTGGAAAGGGGATGGGTAGCCGACAAGAAACAGGTAATTTTAATATTGTGCTATGATAGGTGTTAAGTAAAGGATGTTATGATGGCTTCAAGGAGAGACACTTAAGAGAACAGAGAGAAATTAGGGAAGATTTTCTATAACATGGAAAATTTATGCTGAGAGACTTGAAACATTAATAGGGCATGGCCATGTGAAGTAGGGTAAGGGGATTTTTAGGTAGAAGGAAA